ATACAATGATAGTTAGGGAATGCCTCCCTAACGCGCTTGTTTAACGTCACTGAGCTTGACGTCTTTTCGCTTAGGCGGTTTCAGGATCGGAGAGAGGAATGGTGGTTCTTTCCTCATTGAATTCTTTTGCGAGATAAGGTTTCATCCTTTGACCATTAACCACGAATTCTTTTCCATCCTTGTTCCATAAAACAAAGGCTCCAAAGGAACGCACTTCTTTGATTTTGTACGGTCCTGACCATCGAGATTTAAGCTTTCCCGGGAATAACCTCAACCGCGAATTAAACAACAAGACTTGGTCTCCTTCCTTGAAGTCTCTTGATATGATTTTCTTATCATGGAACGCCTTGGTTCTTTCTTTATAAATCTTGGAGTTTTCATAAGCATCAAGACGGATCTCATCAAGGTCATTCAATTGAATCAACCGCTTCTCCGTTGCGGTTTTTATATCAAAGTTCAGAAGCTTAACTGCCCATAACGCCTTGTATTCAAGCTCAACCGGCAAGTGACATGATTTCCCATAGAGGAGGTTGAACGGAGTGGTACCAATTGGAGTCTTGAAGGCGGTTCGGTAAGCCCATAGTGAATCGTCTAACTTCTTAGACCAATCTTTTCTCGTTGCCCCAACCGTCTTTTCTAATATGGCTTTGATCTCTCGATTTGAAATCTCAACTTGGCCACTTGTTTGCGGGTGATAAGGCGTAGCGACTTTGTGCTTAACCCCGTGCTTCTTAAGTAGACTCTCGAAGATCTTGTTGATGAAATGTTTCCCTCCATCGCTTATGACGACTCTTGGAATACCAAATCTCGGGAAGATTATGCTTTTGAACAGCTTCAACACAACGCTTGAATCATTTTTGGGGCTTGCAATTGCTTCCACCCACTTGGAGACATAGTCAACCGCTACAAGAATGTATTGGTTCCCATAAGACGAAGGAAACGGTCCCATGAAGTCGATTCCCCACACATCAAAAATTTCTACCTCAAGAATTGGATTTTGAGGCATCTCATTCCTTCTACTCATGTTTCCCTTTTGTTGACATGAATCGCATTTAGAAATAATCTCATGAGTGTCTTTAAACATTGTTGGCCACCAAAAACCTGCTTGGAGAATTTTTGTAACCGTTTTGAATGTAGCGAAGTGACCGCCATAGCTTGAACCGTGGCAATGATTCAGAATTCCCTCTACTTCCTCTTCCGAAATACACCTTCGGTAAATTTTGTCCTTGCAAAGCGTGTAGAGGTATGGTTCATCCCAATAGAAACGGTTCACATCCTTGAAGAACTTCTTCTTTTTATATGCATCCAGATTTGGTGGTTCTTTTCCACAAGCTAAGTAGTTCACAATATCCGCATACCAAGGTCCTTCATCTTTTAAAGCTTTGACTTCCGCAAGCTTTTCATAAGTTTGGTTGCTCGCTTCTATAAGTCGGATTGCCATTAGTTGCTCCTCGGGGAGAGAGTCATCAATTGGTATTTCGTTTTCAATCCTCATCCGAGAGAGATGATCTGCTACACCATTCTCAATCCCTTTCTTATCTTTGATTTCCAAGTCAAATTCTTGTAGAAGCAAAATCCATCTCAAGAGTCTTGGTTTAGCATCCTTCTTGGCCAATAAATGTCTCAATGCAGCGTGATCGGTATGGACTATCACCTTAGACCCAACCAAATAGGATCTAAACTTCTCAATTGCAAATACTATGGCGAGGAGTTCTTTTTCTGTTGTAGCGTACTTCACTTGCGCATCATCGAGGGTTCTACTCGCATAGTAGATGACATGGAGCTTCTTGTCTTTTCTTTGGCCTAGAACCGCGCCAACCGCATAGTCACTAGCGTCGCACATAATCTCAAACGGAAGGTTCCAATCCGGTGCTTGAACTATTGGAGCACTAACCAGCTCATTCTTTATCTTTTCGAAGGCTTCAAGACATTTTCCATCGAACTCAAATGCAACCTCTTTACACAACAGCCTTGTAAGTGGTCTCGCAATCTTCGAGAAGTCCTTGATGAATCTTCTATAGAACCCGGCATGACCCAAAAAGCTTCTTATACCCCTCACTGAATTTGGTGGTTCTAGGTTAGTCATCACATCAATCTTGGCTCTATCAACCTCAATTCCTTTCCCAGAGATCTTATGACCAAGTACAATTCCTTCTCTTACCATGAAGTGACATTTCTCCCAATTCAGCACAAGATTTGTCTCTTCACACCTTGTCAAGACCCTGCAAAGATGAGAAAGACAAGAGGCAAAAGAATCTCCATAGACGGAGAAGTCATCCATAAAAACTTCAACAACATTCTCAATTAAATCTGAGAAAATTGACATCATGCATCTTTGAAAGGTTGCGGGTGCATTACATAATCCAAATGGCATCCTCCGATATGCAAAAGTACCATAAGGACATGTAAATGTCGTTTTCTCTTGGTCATTTGGATGAATGGGTATTTGAAAGAACCCTGAATAACCGTCTAAGAAGCAATAGTAAGAGTGATTCGCTAGCCTTTCTAACATTTGATCAATAAAGGGCAGTGGAAAATGGTCTTTCCGGGTAGCGGAGTTCAACTTCCTATAGTCTATACACATTCTATGACCGGTTATGATTCTAGTAGGAATTAACTCGTCTTTATCATTTTTAACAACGGTTACTCCCCCTTTCTTAGGCACCACATGTATCGGAGAAACCCATTTACTATCCGAGATTGGATAGATAATTCCCGCATCTAGAAGCTTAAGAATCTCTTTCCTCACAACATCACGCAAATTCGGATTTATCCTCCTTTGGTGTTCAACGGAAGTCATTGATTCTTCTTCTAGATGAATTCGATGTGTGCACAAAGACGGAGAGACCCCCTTAATATCTTCTAGCGAGTAACCTATAGCTCTCCTAAACCGTCTTAGTTCACCTAGAAGAGTGGAAGTCTCTTCTTCACTAAGTTCCTCATTTATAATTACCGGGTAAGTAGAGTTTGTTCCAAGAAATGCGTACCTTAGCCCGGTTGGAAGTGGTTTGAGTTCGATTTTTGGAGCCTTGAGTTCACTCCAATCTCCATCGAAGCTAGTCTTACCATTGCTAGCTTCTTCTACCTCAACTTTGACGATGTCGTGCTCCAATTGATTCAACTTCGAAAATCTTGGTTCCCCATCATAGACCATTTGAGAGTCTAACAATTTCTCAAACCCCTCACTCTCTATCTCAAGCAAACCGTGTTGGCCTTGTTTAACTGTGAGAGCACTTTGAAGAGAGTCTTCTTGGGCTAGTTCTTCTAAAAGCTCATCCGCTAAAGCATCCATTTCTTCAATGTAGAACACTTGACCCTCAATAGTAGGCTTTTTCATCACCTTATTGATGTCAAATGTCAAGACCTCTTTACCCAAGCTCAAGTTAATTTTGCCTTTACTCACATCGATCATTGCTCCCGCGGTTCTTAAGAATGGGCGCCCTAATATTAGAGGATCTTTCGGTTCTTCATCCATGTCAAGGACCACAAAATCTGTTGGGATCTCAAAATGACCAATCATCACTGGAAGGTCTTCAAGCAAACCAATTGGTGTTCGTACAGAACGATCTGCCAAGACTAGCGAAATCCTACATTCTTTGTACCTTGTAAACCCCAACCGTTTGGCAACTGAGTGAGGCATCAAGCTAACGCTAGCGCCTAGATCACATAAGCAACTCCTAAAAGAGAAAGGTCCAAGAGCACATGGGAGTGTGAAACTACCTGGATCATCTAACTTCTTTGCTACCACTTTGTTTTGGATGATAGCGCTACACTCATGTGTCAGAATAACCATACCTTCCAGTGCTTTCTTTTTCTCCATAACTGCATCTTTAAGGAACTTGTTGTAAGTCGGGTTTAACAAGAATGCGTCTATGATAGGCATTGCGAGCGTAACTTGTTTCATTTGCTCATCAAACAATGCTCTATACTTCTCCATTTGTTGCTTCTTGAAACGACCAGGGAATGGTAGTTTTGGCTCATAAGGTGGAGGCACGAAAACTGTTTCTTTCTCTTTGTTCAACACAACTTCTTCACCAGTACCTCTCTCATTCACCATCTCCTCATTTTCAGTTTCAATCTCTACCTCCCCTTCTTTGGTTTCTTCATCTCTATTAAGCTCCCTACTAGGTAATACCTTACCACTCCTTAGTGTCACAGCATTTATGTACTCCTTGGGGTTTGGTTCTGAATTGCCCGGTAGGGAACCCATGGGACGTTTTGAAGTTGAAGCTTGACCATTTACTTGAGTTGAAAGGTGTTCAAACTTGTCTTGCATATCCTTCAGTTGAATAGCAAGCTCACGTTTCTGTTGGTCCATTTGAGTAACAAGTCTCTGTAATAGAGCACTTGTATCTGCTTCTTGAACCGGAGGTTTCGATGAACTACCTTGCCCTTGGTTTTGGTAGTAGGGTTGAGCTCCGGTTTGAAAATTTCCCTGGTTGTATTGGTGCCTTGGTTGAAAATTCCCTCGCTGGTTGAATTGAGGTCTAGGCTGAAAATTTCCTTGTTGGTTGAAACCTTGTCCTTGAGGTTTCATTGCTGGATAATTTTGATCTTGCGGGTTCTCGACGTTATTGTTTCGATATGAGAAGTTCGGGTGGTTTCTAAAGTTCGGGTTGTAGCCTCCTTGGTATCCTTGTCCAGCGACATAGTTCACCTCTTCTTGTCCTTCGAGAAAAACCTCTTCACCCATCATTTGTTGACCATATGAATCTCCAATATAATTCAGAGGTTTTTGAGTAGCTTGTAAGACCTTGTCCAGCTTCTCATTCAAGGCTTTCATCTCTCTGTTTCTTTGGTCTTCCTTGTCACTACTTCCTCGAGAAACTCTATCGTAGTCCTCACTGTAGTTTCCATCGCTTTGCGCTAGGTTCTCTACTAATTCAAACCCTTCAACGATATTCTTCCCCAGGAAGTTCCCATTGCTAGCGGTATCTAGCAGCATCCTTATCTTCGGTACAACTCCTCTGTACAGCGTGCTCAACAATGACTCATCAGAGAATCCGTGGTGAGGGCATTTGTTCGTGTAGCTATTGAACCGTTCCCATGCTTCACTGAAACTCTCGTTTCCCTTTTGAGAAAAGCTCGATATATCGTTTCTGAGCTTAGCTGTTCTTGATGTCGAGAAGAATTTTTCCAAGAATTTCTTCTTACATTCAGCCCAAGTAGTGACTGATCTAGCCGGTAGACTCTTCTCCCATTGTTTCGCTTTATCCCCAAGAGAAAAAGGAAACAATCTAAGCTTAAATGCATCCTCAGAGACGCCATTTATCTTGCTCAGATCACATATATCGTTGAAGTTGTCGAGATGATCTAGAGGGTCCTCAACGGGCAGCCCGTGAAACTTGTTCCCTTGAACCATATTAATGATGCTCATCTTGATCTCAAAGTTGTTGTTCTCCACTGTTGGAGCGCGAATGCCACTTCGGTTCCCATGTGCTTGGGGTGTATCATATGCCCCTATTAATCTCGTTCTTCGATCAGCATGAAGTGGTGGATTAGCAGCGGGAAGATCCGCTCCTTGAATTTCTTCTTCCATTTCTGGGTTGTTGTCACCCATGATTAACCCTGTTGTTCTTGCAAGTCTTTCTCTTTCTCGCCTAGCTCGAGAGTTAGCTCGCTCTAGTCTTCTTATCTCAGGTACTATTTCCACCAGATTTTCTTGTCCCTGGCTTCTCAGGTTCATGCACCTTCAAGATAGAGAAAAATACAGAACACGATTAGATATTTTTTTTTTTATAATATTTTTTTTTTATTTACGAAAATTAAAATTTAGACTCGGTAGAATCCAAATCCTAATGGCTATTGCTATGCCTCCCCGGCAACGGCGCCAAATTGATCGTGCAGAATTGTGATTTCCGACCCCAATTAAATTTATCGAACCACAGGGAGACAAGAATAACACACCAAGAATGCAGGAAACTAATCAAGCTAAATGGATATGATTTTTTTTTTTGGTTTTGATTTCGAAACTACGAACTAAAAACAGAACATGACGACAAATTAAGAAAGCGATAATTCAACAACTTCTAATAAATTTAAGCAAGCAAGCAAACAAAGCAAAGCAAGTAAAACGATTGATTTGAAAATATTAAAAGTATGGATCGTTGGTAAGGTAATTGACAAGGGTGAATGATGGCTTAAACAACAATGAACTAGACAAACAATCAATGCTTAATCTTATGACATGAGTTCCTTAACTAGACAAGTTCACTTCCGTGATACTAATCCTTTTACAAATCATTTAATAAACTAAATCTTCCGATTGCAACCAAATGATTTATAAACATTAAACACAAGCTCATATAAGTCATCGATTCCATCTTACGACTACAACTTCCGTTGGCCCAGATTAAAAACCGCATGCATAGAAGGTTCAGATTAATTCAAAACATCTTCCGAGAGTGAAATAATCTAAAATCTAGAAACCTCTTTTCCAAGTTCATTTCTAGCATTAAAATCATTCTATACATGAAGATAAACATAAATCATCTATCAAACATCATGATCAATCATCAAATCACCCTAGATCTACCAAACCAACAATCCAAAAGTCAACTACTCACACATGCTCAAAACACAAAAGTAAACCGTACAAAAGATAGATATTGAAGACATAATCAAGATTTTATAAAAAGATTTAACAAAACATAAGTAACAAAGATTTAGATGATGAAATAAGTTTACAAAACATGAAGAACAAAACAAGAACAAGAGAGAGAGTTTAGAGAGTTGTAAAAGTCTAGATAGATGTTATTTTACACTAAAATGAGTATTTATGGTGGTGGAGTTCGCACTAGGTGAGATAAAAAGGGAAAACTGTCGGCTGCAACTCTTGATCGGTTGTGTTGATCGGTTGCACAACCGATCGGAGCTGTTTAGTGCGTTTTTCGCGTTTCGCCGATCGGTTGTCTTGATCGGTTGCACAACCGATCGGGACTTTCTTCATTTTTGCCGCACGGTTGCGTTGATCGGTTGCACAACCGATCGGGGTTTCTTCATTGTTGCCGCTCGGTTGTCTTGATCGGTTGCACAACCGATCGGGACTCCATTTCCAGCTTTTTGGCTCTGCTTCCTTCCGCTTTAACCTCGTGTTCCTCCGTAACTCCAAGCGTCCTGAAATATACACACAAACCACAGAAGAATGTGCAATATACCATCGAGAACTCCTAAAGTACTATAAAACTCAATATCACACAAAATAACACAAAAATACTTATTAATCGAAGAATATATACATAAAACACACAAATAACATGGGGCAAACCATGGTGAAATACATGTATATCACTTCAACTGTTCACAATTAACCGCAAAAAATTAATAACCTAAAGATCAGGCATGTGTCTGCAATATCTCTCAAACCAATGGAAGCCAACCTCAGAATTGCGATAGCCACAATCATCACATGTAGATGCCATGACAATAACCTCCTGAAAGTACGGGATTTCTGTATTATGTCAAGGGGTAAAAACAGCATGGAGGAGTTCACCAACAAACACTAATACGTAAAACTTGTTTCAGAAAACCAAGGAACGGGCACAAATTTTTTGAAAGGATACTAGTCACGAACATCCGGGTCTCACACAGCTTTGTACATGCTCCGCAAGTTGAGGGGAAAGTCATCACCTATTAAAAAATGAGCAATAGTAAAGTTATATGAAACCATCATTTAAGTTTTTAACTTTCACAAAACAACCTTTTGACACTGATTTCTTATCTCAAGTGATCATAACCTTGAACATTCACTATTCCAAAATTTTCAGGGTCAGAAGTTACCTCTTCAGGCGCAGTGTATCTAAACAAGTTATCCGAAATATCAGTGCTATTACTCTGTGCAATCGCTCGATGACCAGCTGTTGCTCCGATAGTTCCATGAGGTAGAGCAGTTGTTTGAGTAGAAGGTGTTTCAAGACTTCTTTCTGACTGTCCAGTCTGAGAAGGGTTAGTAAGATATCCAAGAGTTGCTTGTTGTTCAGGTGTTCGCTCATAGAACTTGATTGTTAGAGAGGGATCTAATGATGGAGCATGTCTGTCATATGTTATAAACTTGTGTCATAAGAAGATAAAGAAATATTTCATTTATCATGGTAATTCCAATTCCAAGTTGAATATCCTTACGGGTTCTCAATGAAACTGTTTCCAGCAGGATCATCCAAAATGAAGGTGAATGATGTCTCTGCTTTAGCACAAGCTCTCAGTTTAGACAAGAATTGGTCTATTGCTTCTGCAGTTTTAGGATCTACTTTCTGTGTCAAGCAACATCTATAGTTTAAGAATCCTGACTAGAAAACAATCAAACTTGACATATAAAAAAATTGTAGAGCTTCAAGTCAGAATTTACCCTGCGTTCTTCTTGAAGGGCACTCAGTTCATCCGCAGCTCGGGATAGTATCCCTTCCACCTAGAAGTTAAACAAAAAGGGGGGAGTCATTGACATGGAAGTGGAAAAAGAAAACCAAAATCTTAAACGCAATTGTATAGGTTTATTCTCCACTAAGAATGAATTAAACGACAACAAGATTATTTCCTAACTGCCAACACCAGATTGAAGCTAGCAAAGTAACACAGATAGGTCTCCCATGGAAATCTTCTCAATAGTCATTAAATGCATCAATAATTAGTTCTCATCAGTAGACCAGACGATTTTTAGGTTGTTCAAAGAAATAACTACCCCCAAAAATGAACTGTTCGTATCAAGATGGTTAAGAGGACTTACCGTAGATAAACTACCACGTTGGGCCTCTGGTGGAATTTCAAAATCCAGTTCAGGAATCTGAATACATGTATTCATGCAAACTACTATCAGTTTCCAGCTTAAATAAGTCCAGTTTTTATAACATAAGAAGGAAAATAATTCACAGTTTTCAGGGAGATTGGGAAGTTGTTTCTTATAAATATGCAGTAAGCTGGCGCGGTTTAAGAAATCAGAGTATTTTGAATCCGAAGGACCGATGACATTCCCAAAATCAGTAAGATTACTCACCTTAATAGTGGCTGATTCAGACTTTACAACTTGCCGGTCAAATATCTGCATTTAGACAGAAATAAGAAGATAAAATATGCTTAAGGAGCAATAGAAAACTAAAAAAGGGCTACATTCTACCTCATGAGTGCATCTCCAAATGAAAAAATGAAAGACGGAAATAAATTCAAAAGAACAAAAATTTAGATTTGAATCAATGCACCAACCTTCACATCGCCAGCTGAAACCTCAAGATGGTAACTGCATCCTCGGGGTTGAATCTCGCCAGCAAACTGAACTTCATTATTCCTAAAAAATATATCAGAGATCAATGAAAGGCTTATCTTTTCAATTGAGGAGAACAGAAAATATTTGGTGAGTTAGTTTTCAAAACCAATTCACCGTGCTCAAAACGAATACTTAAAAAAAGCATCTCAAAGTCATAAGAAGTTGTACCTTTCTCCGCAGTGCGGGCATTCAAATGCAGATATTAAGACCTGTAACCAGAAGTATGTTAGCAGGAAGCTTGTAAGCTAACACAAGGTGGAGAAAAGTCTAAATAAAACGTCTAACCAACAAAACATGTTCCTAATATCAAATAATAACTTTGTGTATTTTTTTGGTTTGACTAGAGTATGGAAAATTTGAAATAAAAAAAATGAACAAAATTTGGTGTTTTTAAAAAAAAGTACGACATACCTTTCTGAAGTGAGGTATTAAGGTCAAAAGAAATCTAGTTGTTCCCTGGAAAAGAAATAAAGAGTGATCAGGAGAAGGACCAAGAAAATCTCATGCGACAGACTTTTTTTACAACCGAAGTAAAGAATTCGGCGAAAATGCACTAGAAACTGAAAGTTCACCATACAAAGTTTCTCCAATTGATTGCTACAGAACAAAAAATATCACTATGTTTCCCATCAAATTTATCATACCATCACCAAGACATAACCAATAAGTTGTGTTTCATCCCGCTATAGTTCACTTCATAACAATCTCAAGAACCATTGGATTGCAGAAAGAACTCATGTTACTACAACCATGTACATGTACCATTTAGAAACAAGCTCAAACTAAAAAGCAAAGAAGAAACCGAAGCTAGCCTGTATCATAGACCTATATCAATTAACACAGGTTACAACATT